GTCCAGGTAATGATCCCAGGGTCCTGGGATCGAGTCCCACATCAGGCTCCTTGCTTAGCACGGAGCCTGCTTCTCCCTCTCTCTCCCTCTGCTTGTGCTCTCTGTCAAATAAATAAAATCTTTAAAAAAATAAAAATAAATAAAAATACCAGTGGTATCATATTATTTTGCAGTTTTTTTTCAGTAAGTAATATATCTTAAATCAGAGAACAATACAGAAATTAGCTATAGATGGGTAAAATACCCAGCTGTTGAAGTAACAACAGTTACTTCCGGGACCTAACTTGGAAAGAAAGAAGGAACACTTCGACTTTAAATAATGTGCATTATTACTTTTAAATCATGGAATTAAAAAGGATTAAAACAATTTATTTTAGAGGGGTTTTTTTTGTTTTTTTTTGTTTAAGATTTTTATTTATTTGACAGAGAGAGAGAGCACAAGCAGGGGGAGTGGCAGGCAGAGGGAGAGGGGGAAGCAGGCTCCTCGCCAAACAGGAGCCCAATGCGGGACTCGATCCCACGATCCCAGAATCGTGACCGGAGCTGAAGGCAGCCGCTTAATTGAGCCACGCAGGCACCCTAGAGTTCTTTCTTTATCAACGCATTAAGATATGCCTTCTTGCCTTTTAACAGCTATGTGTTCTGTTTTATGCATGTACTATTTTTCTCTGGATAATGAATCCCCAAATAATTTTGAAATTTCATTCTGTTTCAAATGTATCCCTGTTTCAGGTGGAAGATGAAACTTTAAAAACAGAAAATGGTGGGTGATATGGCCCATACTGGCAAAGCTTTACAACATAAAACATCATTGAAAAGATAGACTTTACATCCTGGAGTTTATAGTTAGTTAAAAAAATAATAGTAATAATGACAAGCTAAACACTGGACTGAGGTAGAAGTGTTATTCTCCTTATATTAAATTACTACTAGTAACAGTTCAATATTCAATACCAATATTCAGTGATACAGATTTATTTTACGTGTGTGATTTTATGCACTATTCTTTGCTGGATTAGATTATTGCTGAATATTTAGAATTTTGTTCTAGGATACAGTATTCTAGGATGCAGATATAGGAACAAAACTAGTTTTCAAAAAAATATTCATTGAAAATAATTTAGAAATTATGATATGAAAAAAATTTCATTGTAAAATTATGATGCATCTTACACATCTCTGTACCTTATACACAGACAGATGCAGTAGGTAAGTTCCATTCTTTTCCTTCAAGAAACAACACTGCAAGGAACATCCTAATGTGTATAGTACACACACACACACACACACACACACACACACACACCCCCTATGGTCTCTTGAGAAATTATCCAGTGCCAGGCTATGAGAGTAATGCTTTACATGGACTTTTTCATTTAATTTTTACAGCAATCTTACAATGTTTGTACAATTATCATTATTTGTTCTTTGAATGAGGACACTGTGGTACAAAAAGTTAAGTGATCTTCCCAGGCTCGCACAATTAATCCAGAGTTCACACTCAGTTATATAGTCCCTAAGAGTCGAAAGATAAATTTAAGTCTTTGGTAGTTATTGCCAAATTGCCTTACAAAACTTTGTACCAATTTACACTCCCTCCAACAGTACATGTGCCCGTGTGTGGCCCACACACAGCCATCAGAGGCTACTATCCTGCTTTATTACTTTGTCCACTGTTAGGTGAGATCACCACCATCTTCAATTTATGAAATCAAGGTTTCAAATTTACGAAATATTGAAATTATTATGAAACTTCATTTGCAGGAAACTTAATTGAGAAGACAACTTCTATACTAAGGCCTTCATGATTAGGGTTAAGACTGCTAAAACAACTTATGGAAAAGTTCCCCTTTCTATACCCCAAATATAGACACATTATTCTTGAATACAGATTTATTTGAGTGAAGTGACACTTTGCAGCTTCACATTTTTATGAAGCAATAAGAAGGCTCACCCAAGATGAATGACTTGGAGTGGTTCAGTCTGTCAGAGGTAAATTATTCTTAATCACAATACTATAATATTTTGCAAATGCAGTTCTAAACTCAGATATGAAATCCCTTTAAAGTTGATTTGAAGAAGATTTGGTTCTTTTACCTGTAAAGAGAGTGATGGATCCACATACCTTTTCCTCCCTTTTGATGGAGAACAGCAGGTTGTACCAGTTGGTTTTCAGGGATATTTGGCAGAGATTGATGAGTATTTCCTTCAAAATAGAGGTCCGCAGCACTGTTCTATATAAATAATGCAGCAGGATGTTAAGTGGGACTTTCCATGTGGCCCCCAGTTGATGGCTAAAGTCAAAAGCTGAGGACAAAAAGAGTGCTAAGCATCTCCTAAATTCTAAAAAGCATAATCCTCAACTGTAGCCAGATACCTCCCAGGGCAGAACTAGCCTCAAACCCACATAGAGAGAGGATCAAGGGATGGAAGGTACTCTTTGGCTTTGTGAAGACTTTCATATCATCCCTTCCCTGTAAGAAAGAAGAGGGGGTTGCTTCCTTCCTTCTCCCTAAAAATACCAGGAAGAAAATTTTAAAGAATTATCAGTACAAAATTGAAGTGCCAGCAAAAAGGGGAAGAAGATGGGCTTCCATTCCTCTGTTGGATGCCCATCTGGGCAAGAGGAGACAAGAGAAAGATGACAGCCAAGGGAAGGCAGAGCCAAGAGATGGGACAGGAGCAAGCAGCCTGAGCTGTTACCATTACATTGGCAAGGATATGTAGGTCTCCATGGGTTAATTCGACAAAGATGGACTTGAGCCACCTTACCATACCCCCTAAGAGACTTCCCAGCAGGCAAGGAGTCCCCCCCAGCCACAAGAGGCTGTGATATATACTGGGGAGTAGGAGTTGAAGGGGAAGCAGGGTTGCCAGATTTAGCAAATAAAAATATCCGCATGCTGTATTTTACTTGGCAACCCTAAGTAAGGTAGAAGAGGTTAAGCTGGAACCCAAATTCCCTGTTCAAAGAAATGTCCTGTGGAGAGGCCTTAACAGAACAATTTAGAGGGTCAGGGAAAGGACATTTGACATAGCATGGTTGAAGGTAATGACTAAAAAAAGAAAAAAGAAAAAAGAAAAAACATTTCATATTTACACCACACCACATGGCATTAAGAAATACAATACAAGGGCACCTGGGTGGTGCAGTCCATTAAGCGTCTTACTCTTGGTTTTGGCTCAGGTCATGATCTCAGGATCATGGGATCGAGCCCTGCATCAGGCTCTGTGCTGAGTGCAGAGTCTGCTTGAGTTTCTCTCTCCGTCTCCCTCTGCCCCTTGCCCAACTCACTCACTCTCTCTCTCCCAAATAAAGAAATAAATCTTTAAAAAAAGCAAAAGAAAATAATACAAAAGAACACATGAATGGAGAGATAGATGGTGGGGACACTTTGTTTGCAGGGAGCTATAACAATATCCATGAGTTGGTCCAAGACGTGTAGCTAGCTCTGAGCTTGGGAAGGGAAACAGCAGGTTAATACAAGATTGTAGGTAAAGCCAGTGCAGGGGAAGTTTGGACTCTGCCCTATGGCTTATAGGGGAACCATACTTTTTTGCAATTTTCCAGGTGGACGAGAAGCAGTAATGTGAGAACCCTAAAAACACATCTTTCTAGAAGTCATTCAAACCCTGTGATGCTGGATGGAGAGCAATGACGGAGGGCAGTTTCCTTCTTGACAGCCTTGCTGAGGATCACCCATGTTGACTGTCAAATTCACCGCACTGATGTCTGTGAGTGTTCTCACAGTCACCGCTGCCTCTAAGCTGGGTTCCAGCAAGCTTACACCAAGTGGAAGGCAGGTGTGAATAGGGAATTTGCCTGTTACTGGGAGATTGGTCTATTGGTACATGTACTCACTATCACTGTTCTCCAATTATAGACAGGTTCCTCTGTAGGCAGCACACCATAGCAGTTGGAATGTCCTCTGACATGAGAGCAGTGGTTGATGAAAGCCAGGTAATTTTTGTAATCTAATTTAAAAACAGAAAAAGAAACTCCAAAAGTCGAAGTTTACAATTGCATGCGTGTGTGTGCAATGTGTATGATGTTTATATATGCATATATGCTTATATATGTGGTTGCTTCATCATGTGTTCTCTATCACTTTGCATTTCCCTACATTTATTGCATTATACTGGTTATCTTTTACATATCCCATTTCCCTTACTGGAGCACATGTTCCTTGCAAGCAGAGATCCCATGATTTCTTTTCTCTTGGAACTTCCCAAAACACCCTGTGTAAACTCAATAGGCAATATACCTGTATTTCACCTACACTATCTTTCACAGTCTATAGGGCAATGGGTGAGGAATAATAAGAATATTTACTCTCAAAAGAAAAGAATGTTCTTCTGAGTAGAATATCTCTTGTATGGAAGGTCTATGAGATAAAGTAGAATAACCGAAAAGCCCACTCTGAACAATTAAAATTATCTATTAGATAAATATCAACCAGTATGCTTAACAGCAAATAATTTTATGTGCTAGTATTCCAATGTGGAATGTCATTCTCTATATTCTTGCATTTTCATATGTGACACTTTAAATTTACGTAGGCTAGGTAACCCTGGAAGCTTTTTGCCTTTGTTAGAATAAACCCTAGATGCACTACATTAAAATGGTCTTCTCTGTTCTGATACGTCTGTGTGCCCAAGAAGCCATTTGATTACCACTAAAAGAAGGGACTGATATCTTTACCTGGGGAGTACTGAAGATCTCCAGTTGAATGTTGCCTCAACACCTCAAAAGCATCCTCAAAGTCTTGTCCCAGCTTGTCTTGTTCAACACAGGACTGCTGCAACAATGGCAGAACCCTCAAGTTATGAAATTATCAATTGAACTTAATCTTTCTGATATAAAGGAAGGTTTCTCACCCACGACACTATTGACACGTAAGGTTGGGTAAGTCTTTGCTGCAGAGGGCTGTCCTGTGCATTGTAGAAAATCTAGCAGCATCCCTGGTCTCTACCCACTCACTGGATGCCAGCAGCACTCTCTCAACCCTGGTTGAGATCCACTGCTCTATAATATACAATATTTAGAGAACAGTATTCATTCTATGGTATAGTATTTAACATTCTCATAAAATTTTAGTAAGGAGTTGTATAGCAGGAGACTGATTTGGAAAGAGGGATCAAGGAAATACCTTTAATGAAACAATCTGAATCACTGCTTAAAATGGAATGCTCTTAATTTCAAAAGCATGTCCCCAAGATATAAAATTAAACTTTTTTTTAAGATTTTAATGTATTTGAGACCCAGAGAAAGTGTGTGTGAGCGGGGAGGGACAAAGGGGGAGGGAGGAAGAATCTGAAGCAGACTCCATACTGAGCATGGAGCCTGATGCGGGGCTGGGTCCCACCACCATGAGACCATGACCCAAGCTAAAACCAGGAGTCGGACCCTTAACAGACTGAGTCACCCAGGCGCCCCCAAATTGAACTGTTTTGCAAACCATTTCATGCCCTTATAATCTAATCCATATATTTTATTTTCAAAATGGAGGACATTCATCCTTCAAAGAGGATGCTCAGGGGCGCCTGGGTGGCTCAGTCGTTAAGCGTCTGCCTTCAGCTCAGGTCATGATCCCAGAGTCCTGGGATTGAGCCCCGCATCGGGCTCCCTGCTCTGCGGGAAGCCTGCTTCTCCCTCTCCCACTCCTCCTGCTTGTGTTCCCTTTCTCAAGCTGTGTCTCTCTCTGTCAAATAAATAAATAAAATCTTAAAAAAAAAAAAAAAAGAGGATGCTCATCCTCCAAAGAAGATTAAAATGCCAACTTACCATGCTTCATTAATATATTGACAATTCTGAAAAAGATTAATAAACAAAATTAATAGTGTATTTAATTTGCCTCTGAATTAAAAGATCTTACTCTAAGTATTTTCTGAAAATACTTTGTAGGAACCAAAAGTACCATCTGAAGTCTCTTTAATGAGTACACATTTTTCTTCTTATAAAATTGCCTACAAACTTTTTTTTCGCTTTTCTATTATTACAAAACTTTTTAAATGTTAAAATAGCTAAATAGAGTTAATTACCTAAACTGCTTAACTTATAAGAGAATATAAAAGTAACTCAGGAGAACACTTAAGTATTTCAAAATTGTTTTAAGAATTAAAGTATTTAAGGGGTGCCTGGCTGGCTGAGTCAGTAGAGCATGCGACTCTTGATCTTGGGGTTGTGAGTTTGAACCCCACATTGGGTGTAAAGATTACTTAAAAATAAAATCTTAATAAAAATTCTGAAAATCAGAATCCTTTTTACCTTAGCATAGTTCTCCATTTATATTGGTGATTTTCTTTTTTTTCCCCCAATCTTTCTGGTGTCAACCTACTGAGAATCTGGTGAAAGATAGGCTTTTTCTCTCTTGAAATGTGAATCTACATTACAAATAAAATTTACCCTATAAAACCCATCCATTTTAAAATCCTAGGATAAGAACCCTGGTCTACTTTCTTATCCATGTAAGTTAGATTTTGTTTTAAATAAACAGTGATAAAAACAAAACAAACATTAAATGGTTTTTAAAAGATGTAAGTTCTATAGAACTAAAAACAAACAAATCTACATAACATGAAAGAGCATGTGGGGGGTCCAACACTGCTTATCATTTTATTTAGCACAAGCAACTGTTTACACAAGTTATCATTTACCCTGCAAACAGTGAGTTTACTCGTTAACACTGTAGAATACAAAGAGATGATATAATCTAACACACTATTACTATACATATCCATCAATATAATATGTCAGCAGACACTGAAATTCTATTCTGCTCTTCAAAATCACTATGCCATGTCAGTTCAAAGAAAATATGAGGAAAAAAATCCCTAAAAAAGGTAGGTAACTATGTAAGGTGATGCAAGTGTTAACTAATCTTATTGTGGTTATAATTTCATAATATATTCGTATGTCAAATCATCACATTTTCCACCTTAAACTTGTACCTCAAAAAAGCTGGAAGACAACTTTCCAATGTGAGAGATGTTGAACATTTTAGCAAGAACTTAAGGGGAAAAAAGAAAGAAAACCCATAAATCACGCCTGGGCTATGATCCCTAATGATTATCATCAGTATATGTATTTTTAAAAAGCCATGTCAATGACTTTCAATTAACTATGCCTCAACTCATAGCACCAAAACAAATGAGTGTTGTAGTTTGAATCGAATACTTAAATGCCTTTAACTAAAATACTCCACAAAATTATCACAACAATCACAACTCTTAAAAGTAGCAAACCCAAAGGGAAGAAAAAAAGCTCAAAAACGCTATTGATCACTTCAATTGCTTAATATTTCTTGTATCTGAACAATCAATATGAGAAACATTCTTTAGGGCAAAGGAGAAAATTATCACAAGGTATTTTGAAAAACAGAGGCTAAACACTTACCAGGAAGACACTTCAACCCTTTACAAAGATGTTTCATTAATATCAGAATCGTTAAGACAGAACTGTCAAGAACTCACTGGCAGAGTTGCATTAAATAGCTGTTTTTAAGGAAGTGCTACAAAAGGGGATTTTTTTTAAAAGATACAGTGTACTCATGATTTCTATTTCACGATACAGCCAATAGACAACAGGGGCTATTATTTTGAAGAGACATGTTGAAGTTTATATCCCGTGGGCCAAAAGCATCCAAACAAACCCCATGCCCCGGCCCAGCCTAAATTGCAGAGCCTCTGGCCCCCCACAGACACGCTGGAAACCTCTGACCTGCACAACTCTCGTTCATCCCTTTTTTGTTCCTGTTTTTCCCCCCTGATTCTAGACCCTATATTGCCTTTCTTGCCTGGACTGTAAACAACCTTCACTCTGGCCTTCCCAAATTGGTCTCTTTCCTCTCAAACCACTTCACTCCTACTTATCGCCTTACTTAGAGATCTTAAAGGTGCAGGCTCTTGTCCTGGCATTTGAGGCTCCTCATCCCAACCTTAGCCTTATTTACCACCATTCATTTAGGAGCAGGAAATGGAATCCATTGCTATGGTCTTCCCTCCATACCTAAATCCAGCAGAGCTTCCCAAACAGTCAAGAATGGCTCATGCGTGGTGATCCGGGATACACTTGAAGCTGCTGATCTGCAGAGAGGTCCAGTTCTCTTATTTAGCTAGAAGTTCTACTGGAGATGGATTTTGGTGGCTCTGATGGAAATCATGGGGTGTACCCTCCACCTATAATGCTTCCTTCCCAGTCCATCCATCTGCCCCGTTACCCATTCCATTTTACCTGTCTTTCTGATCTAATATCCACATGTACCAAGCAGAAATAACTTTCCCTCTGAAACACGTGTCTGAACCACCCTTACCTAACTGCAAACTTCTACCATTTTAAAAGATACCACATTTCGCCAGGGGGAAAACCACCTAAGAATTTTTTGTAAACCTTTTGGGTGGGGAGAGAGATTTTCTGTTTTGCATTGTTGGAATCTGAGCTGACCTTTGATACGGGACTATTGTTCTAGACCATCTACTTTTTGGACCCAATTTGTTATGCAAATGTAAACACACATCCCCTCTTCTGAAATGTAGATGTTATAGTAACGACCATATAAAACTGTAATCACTAATGTTGATGAGGTTTTAATCTGTACCATTTCCATGTCTACGCCCTCCGTTTTGTTCTGTTCATTCATTTATTTAACAAGTATGTATTTCTGAGCTTTTTTCTCTACTGGACACTGTCCAGTGTCCTGGGACTATAACCCTGAACAAGTTCTAATGAGGAGAAATAATTTTTTTTTTAAAGCAAACTACTCAAGTGTTAAATTATGAGTACTAAGAAAACGATAAGAGAAAGGTGATAGGGAGAGAGTATGGAGTCATGATGAATGGTCACGAAAATTCTCTGAGGAGGGAATGTGTGTGTGAGCTGAAATCTAACAATAAGAAAGAGTGAGCAAAAGAAATGCAGAGATGCAAAGAACCAGGGAAGTAGCTCCTGGCAGAGGAAGCAACAGGTGTAAAGAACCTTAAATAGAAATGAGTGTGGTTTAGTCAAGGCATAGGGAGAAAGCCATGGGGGGCTCAAGCAAAATGAGCCTAGGGGCTGAGAGGCAAAGTTAGAAAGTAGGAGGGAGGATCCAGAACAACCCATACATCAAGCCAGAAGAACCAAAAAAAATATTTCAGAAGAATCAAAAAATTGCATGTGATAGTATTTGCCTGCTTAGCCCCATTTTACAGATGAGAAATACAAACCTAGGCTCAAAAAGGCTTCATGATTTTTCCTAAGATCCAATTGCAAGTGAGAGATAGGCTGGGCTGGATCTAGATTTGGGTCTAGATGTGGGAGATAGGCTGGGCTGGGTCTAGATTTGGGTAATTTCATGAACATAATCTCAACCAACATGCTGGAGCCCTGTGTCTGCAGGTTAGGTTCCATTTGACCAGGGTTCTCAGTCCACATGGTAGCCTCTGTAACACTCAACAGATACTTATAGGAGTGCAGGCTTGGTACATATTTGAAATGAATGGAAAAATAAGTGAACTTTCTAAGCCAGTATTTTCCCAGCTGGTGTCTCCAGAGTTTTATTCTGCAAGATATTAATAAATGGACCCTTGAGTGGCAGCCAGGGTTGCTATGTAGAACTTCTTCAGCCAAGCTCAGTTTGTAGAGTAGGTGACTCTTGATCTTAGAGTTGAGTTCGAGCCCCACATTGGTGGGTAGATTGTACTTTAAAAAAATCTGGGCACCTGGGTAGTTCAGTCCATTAAGCTCTTAGTTCGGCTCAGGTCATGATCTCAGGATCGTGAGATCGAGCCCCATGCACTCAGTGTGGAGTCTAGTCTGCTTGACATTCTCCCTCTCCCTCTGCCTAAAATAAATAAATAAAATAAATCTTAAAAAAAATCTTTAAGAACTTCTTCAGCCAAAGCAATGAGCACACTGATGTTTTTTGACACAACCCAATATTATAGATGAGAAAACAGAAACATGGTTTGGTGTTCTTTGTAGGGCTAAGATGTAAAAACGCTTTCAGCAACTTGAAAAGATGATGCAAGTCCTTTTAGCATTTTAGAGGTCAAAGCTTCTATTCCTTGAGAATCTACTGAAAGCTGTTGAGTTCTGTCCCTAGGAAAATGCTATCAGCACACATTATCAGGCGACCCTCCAAGTAGGGCCAACAGACTCCAGTTTAGGAACTCCTGCTATATTGTATTTTCAAAGCCTTCTTATTTAAGGTCTAAGTACTTTTTTTTTTTAAGATTTTATTTATCAATCTGTCAGGGAGAGAGAGAGAGAACACAATTAGGGAGAGTGGCAGAAAGGGGGAGAAGCAGGCAAAGGGAGAAGCAGACTCCCCACTGAGCAAGAAGCCCGATGTGGGACTCGATCCCAGGACCCTGGGATCATGACTTGAGTGGAAGGCAGACTCTCAACTGACTGAGCCACCCAGGCATCCCTAAGTACTTCTTCTTAAGACATTTATACCCAATAGACAAACACATACACAGAACATCTTTATCGATGTAGTAGACATCAACGATTCCCTCAACACCAGAAGTGAGCTGAGTAACAGGGGCTCTAAAGAGAGGATTCCTGATGAAGTCTCTTTTGCAGAAGTTCATTGTCCTCAGTGGTAACTGAGATTATTTTAAAAAATCTTAAGCAACAGATGTTCTGGATTCTATATCATCTGGTGCCAAGCTTCAGGTGGAAGATTGCATTTTCTGAGAATAGAGAGCTTCATATATATACATATATATTTTTTTTTTTTTTTGAGAGAGAGAGAGTGAAGTCTTCTGTTGGGCTCCATGCTGGGCGTGGAGCCTGCTTAAGATTATCTCTCTCCCTCTCCTTCAGCCCAACCACCAGCCCCCCAGCTCACATGTACACTCTCTCTTTCTAATAAAAAAAAAAAAATGTGGTGCATATATACAATGGAATATTACTCAACCATAAAAAGAAAGAAATCTTGCCATTTGCACCAACATGAATGGATATAAAAGGTATAACTAAGTGAAATAATCAGAGAAAGATAAATGCCATATGATTTCACTGATATGTGGAATTTAAGAAACAAAACAAATGAACAAAGGAAAAAAGAGACAAACCAAAAAACAGACTCTTAACTCTAGAGAACAAACTGATGGTTACCAGAGGAGAGGTAAGGTAAGGTAAGGGGTGAAATAGGTGAAGGGGATTAAGAGTACACTTATCATGATGAGCACTGAGTAGTATATATAATTGTTGAATCACTATATTGTACACCTGAAACCAATATAACACTACATGTTAACTATACAGGAAGTTTAAAATAATAATAATAATAATAAAATAACAAAAATAATAAAGAAATAACTCCACTGTTTAAGGGATTAAAGAACTGAGTCTTTTTTTTTTTTAATTTTTTTTTTATTCTTATGTTAATCCCCATACATTACATCATTAGTTCTAGATGAAGTGTTCCATGATTCATTGTTCGTGCACAACACCCAGTGCTCCATGCAGAACGTGCCCTCCTCAATACCCACCACCAGGCCAACCCATCCTCCCATCCCCCTCCCCTCTAGAACCCTCAGTTTGTTTTTCAGAGTCCATCTTCTCTCATGGTTCGTCCACCCCTCCGATTTCCCCCGCTTCATTCCTCCCCTCCCTCTACCTTCTTCTTCTTTTTTTTTCTTAACATATCTTGCATTATTTGTCTCAGAGGTACAGATCTGAGACTCAACAGTCCTGCACAATTCACAGCGCTTAACAGAGCACGTACCCTCCCCAGTGTCTATCACCCAGTCACCCCATCCCTCCCACCCCACCCCCCACTCCAACAACACTCAGTTTGTTTCCTGCAATTAAGAATTCCTCGTATCAATGAGATCATATGATACATGTAAAGAACTGAGTCTTAAACTTACTAAGATCTTTGGGCGTTTGGGGTGCTCAGTCAGTTAAGCGTCTGCCTTCAGCTCAGGTCATGATCCCCGGGTCTTCAGCAGGAGGCCTGCTTCTCCCTCTTCCTTGGCCTGCTGCTCCCCCTGCTTGTGCTTTCTCTCTCTCTGTCAAATAAATAAATAAAATCTTCAAAAAAAAAAAAAAAAAAAGAAAGGAAAACTTAGTAAGTTTCTGAAAACCTAGCAAGCAAATAATATTGCTAGATTTGGAAAAAGGTGCTAGAAAATTTCTTATATCAGAGTAGGAGAATTCATAGAATCACAGATTATAAGACAAATAACTAGCCCTCTCATTTCAATAATTACTTACACTAGATGATTCTTTGAAATTTATTGAGACTTGTTTTATGACCCAACATAGGGCCTATATTAATGAAGGTTCCATTTGTATTTGGAAGAATGTATATTTTACAATTATTGTACACAGTGCCTGATAAATGTCAGTTAGATCTAGTTCACTGATAATACTGTTCAAATTTTCCGTATTCTTACTGACTCTTTTTGACCTGCATATTTTATCAGTTATAAAGATTACAGAAGATTACAGAGATTACAAGGAGTAATGTCC